AGGTTTTGATCTTTTTGGAATCTTTCTTCGAAAAGACCTTGCTAATACTAAAATTAATCTTTCAATTAAAAAAAATGGTGCAAAAAAGTTTCCCTGCAAAAACTTTTCTAGTACACTCTATTTAGTATAGACAAACCGGTGTGGCCTTAGCAAAAGTCCATTTCTTGAAATAGTTTTTTACAAAAACATTTTTTGCTACCTTGCCCAATTTGATATTGAGGTCATTTGAAAGAAAAGGTAGTAGTTATTTACCCCTACGCAAGAAGTTAATCCCGTTGCATGCTTGTTGAAATTCAGAGGTTTTGGATAAAGTTGGATATCGCATTCAATCCTGCATCAATTTAACAAACTATGTTGCAACGCATATATAAAACAGAAAATAAAAGCATAAACAAACACAGTTGGCCGAGCGGCCTAAGCTAAAGTAAAGCCGACTATATAGACATGACAGTTGACGTACGTTCGAGTCCCTCACCTGCCCATGTATCAATATACTAAAAAAGAGGTTTTATCCTATTTGAACTGTTTTTGGTTCTAATTCGGTTCAGCCTTGATTAACGCTGACCGCCAAAAAGAGCAATTTGTCTCAAGGACATTACCGACCGGTTCTTGTGGCTAGTTTGCGCCAATTTGTTTATTGGAGCTGATTATTGGTTAATTTATGAACTTGTTTTACAGCAAATTTTGGATGAAAATTATCAATCTTGCCGATGAACTTTGTATTGCCGAGAATACGAATTTATTATTGGTTTTTCGGTTTTAAATTCATCCTATGGAGATTTAGCGCGCACAAACTATAAGAAATGCCAAATAGTTTCGTTTCGCATTAGCTTTACCTCTAGTAGTAAGAGCTCCCTACTGAAAAGTTTGAGGAAATAAAAATGCTCGTATCGAGTCCAAGCCCGAAAATTCTGACTGCATTCTAAGATCTATGGCATCGTGTTCGCTTTTAAAAAACTGATGTAGTTTTGGAAAAAAGAATTGAAAAAATATGCAAATCACCATCACCTCCAATCCCCCCCTCACACACACACGCACACACACACACTTACGATATGCAAAGTATAAAGTAAAAAAAAAAAAAAAAACTAGCAAAGTATTAATGAACCAAAATGGATGCCTTGATTCATTTCAAAACGATTTCTAAAACAGTTTAAACTTCTGCTGACGCTGCGTTAATAGCACGAAATGTATCTGCATAAATTGTCTTTTCTTTTCGCCGAGACAAAAATTGTCTATTATTATTTATGTGTAACAATCAAAAATTCATAATATACTGCAAGTACGCCATTACTTATTGAGATTAGTTGAAAATACTTTGAAGGGAACTGCATATTTCCTCCTTGGTTATTATTTTGCTTTCACGCTAATGTTGTTCATTTGTTTAAAATATGCAATGCTCGCTCGGATGTGAAAAAATGTCAAAGATTTTGTTTATTTAAGAGGTTTTACATGAAGCCAAAAAGTTTCAGTTTGGCCAAACTCGTAGTGGTAGAAATTAATTATTTAAACTCTTTTCTCGTATTAGTCGTAAGTTATCAACAAATAACAACGGTTTTCCTGTTTTCCCGGTGAGTTTTCGTTGCCCCAGTTTTATGATCCAGCGAGTGGTCTTTCAAGTTGAAATAAGAAAACGGATTGTAATTGCCATGGATGAATTAATCAAACTCCCATGTTCAAATTAATCTAAATATGTGAACACAACATTCACTGGCAACAAATTGTAAGTTGGTTAAAAGGAAAAATGCCATTCCCCATTGATATGAACTGAGTATTCGAAAGTTTTTGAAAGTCTGGTCATTTAGTTAATCACGCAATTCTCTTCTCCTGCTCTCTCTCTCTCTCTCTCTCTCTCTCTCTCTCTTTGTCTCTCTCTCTCTCGCTCTCTCTCTCGCTCTCTCTCTCTCTCTCTCTCTCTCTCTTCTTTTCCTTCTTTTCTTCTTCTCGGTCTATTTTTTACTTTGTTTTTGCTCCTTGTTCGATATTTCAGGGCTATAAGTATTAGAAAAAAAAACTTTTTTAGAGAAAGTTTCGATTTAAATTACGAAAAAAAAATGCCGGTAAACTCAGGTTGAGAAAAATTTTCTGATTATTTTTACTTCGCAAAAAAATTTCTCGTTCTTGATGATGAGATGATGTTTCCAAATTTTTTTGTTATCTCTTTTCTAATCACAGCGTTGGCAACTTTAGTCTTATATAATCAATTATAAAGAATTTTTAACTGATTTCATTTTTTTCATCAGTAAATTTCTTCTGAAATACAATTAATTTTTCAGTTTTTGGTAGTTTTTTGAACATCATTTTTTGCTTTCTGCAAGATATAGTTTCCAGAGAAACAATTGAAAAAAATTTAAATGACAGGAAAACAAGCTTAAAAAATCTGAACGTGCCTCGGCTGGGGTAATCGTAAGATTCGGTAAAAGTGATTCACTTTATAGTCGAAGAAAAAAGCCGTGATTTTCAAATGACTAATAATGAAAGCTGTAACCTCACTAGCGTTTTGAAGTTTAGTTCAAAGCTTCTTTACTCCTAGCCCACCCAACTTGCACTTAAGACTAATCAGGGGAGCGTAGGTGAAGGGATTACGTCTCCGCCTCTCAATCGAGAGGTCGGATATTCGAGACCCACCATGACTCGTTCTCGTTGCTTGAGGGTGAGGCAACATTACCCAGCCCTGAAAAATGACCAAAAAACTACATTTAGATTAGAACCTGGGACACACCAGCGGTTATTCTCCGTGAAGAACTGAATAGCTCGTATGTTGGTTTTTTCCTTTGTGGATAAACTGTCTTAACTTAGCCTTTTCTCTAAACAAGACGATTATTGTACAATTCAGGAATATTAAGTGTTTGCATTAACCCAGATACGAAACCGAAAATATTTACACTTCATTATTTCTTACAGACACTATTCTTCAGGTTCCGGTTCCGGTTCCGGTTCCGGCTCCGGCTCGGGTTCCGGTTCCGGCTCCGGCTCCGGCTCGGGTTCCGGCTCCGGCTCCGGTTCCGGCTCGGGTTCCTGTTCAGGTTCAGGTTCTGGTTCCGGTCCGGGTTCGGGCTCAGTCTCCGATTCAGGTCTGTGATGATGGTGATGATGGTGATGGTGATTGCCACGCCAATGGCCTCGATGTCCATAATAAGGGTCATGGCCATGACCGATATTGATGCTGATGCTTCCTCCGGAACCTCGGCGACGCCTGGATGACCTGTGAGCGATGCGCTCGTCGTCAACTTGGTTGGATTTCAAACAGCAAAACATAGTTTTTAAAATCAAACTAACAATGCATACGATAACTGCATTGAATAACAAGCGAAAATCAATGAAAAAAAATTAATAAGTTGTTGAACAATTTATTTTACTTTTTCTGTTTCGAAGAGATACGTTTTTGAAACAAAGTGAATGAAAGTGTCCATTCAAAAATAAAAATATTAAACTAAGCTTCATTGTGTTCTTTACGTCATTGCTCTCTGTTTGCGTTCAACTTAATTGACGTAGTAAAAAAAGTAATAGAAATGATTAACCTTCAAAGTCGACAGAAAAACAAAGTTTTTCAACACAATAAAAAACTTTTTTAACATTGTTTTGTCACCATTTTGTTTTAAAATATTGAGAAAATGACCTATCACTATTGCAGAAAAATGTAGCAGAATATGCCTGTGTACCTCCAATATTCTGCATGTCGTTGAAAAAACAAATGAAAAAGCAATAGATAAAAATTCCTTAAGCAAAAAAAACACAAAAAATCAAAAGGTATTGGTATTAACCAGCGACGTATTTAAATTTTTAAGCAATCTGCATAAACTTTTATCTCATCATGCAATTATAACATCAATTTACTTTTTATTTTGCCCTGAGTTTGGAATCACCGTATACCAATTTAATTTTAGAGCAAACAAAACTCATTTCAGCCAAGTTCCTGACATTTAAGATTGCTCTTCGAGGTTTCTGGAATATATTTTGGGAGATTTGGGCACAAACTTCAAAGAAGGGAGAAATTGTTTTTTTTTTCAAAATCTATGCAATCTGTAAAAATATCTATTTCTTCTCCCACAAACGGTGCCTCTGCTATGACCATAAAGCTAAAAACTATGGGTTTTAAAATTAATTTAAAATGCATCAAAATGCCAACAATTTAAGAAACTGATGCCAAAAGTTTGACAAACTGAAATCTAGAAGAGGATCAAAGGTGCCAGCACTTGAGCTTAATTTACTTTATCTGAGATTTTGTATGTGTTAGTTATTATCCGGACTTTTTCTCGGTTTTTTTAATGAATTTGATTAGAAGTGACGCACCTTGCTTTCGAAAAATGAACTTCTGGTTGAAAGGGTCAAGCTCAATTTTTCCAAAAACTTATGAGTCGATCGGTGGCTGCCCTGGAAAAGCGACGTAACGCCGTTATGCCAGCCTTTAATGGCGTTAGTTGATAGCATGATGCCTGCCGCCGCATTGTCTTAATGATTCCATTGTCAAGGATGCACGTGAAGGAAGCGAAAATTGATATGCATCCAAGATATACATCCGTTGAATAAATCTGTCACACTGTTGTTCTTTGTATTGATGCTATCTTTGTAATGATATATATCTGCGTTGTGTCTCAAATATCATATCACATATTTCAATAACAGGTTGAAAAACTAAATTTTATACCTAGAAAGAAGGGTTTTAATTTAGCACTATCTCTATATTGCATCTCAAACTAATTGAGGTAGCTGAATTGGTACTTTTTTCAATTGCGATATAAAGATATGCACCAATCCTTAATAATATATATCACAATTTAACTATAATCATGTTTGGGAGAATTTAACTGGCATGGTCTGTGGTGGCATGGGCTATTGGTAAAATCGTATGGAATTAGGTTTTTTGTATTGGTATACTTTTGTATGTTGTACATTGTCCTGTCGCCGAAAAATTATTTGATTATAATCAAAATTCGGGACAAAAAAAATCCAATACAACAGACTGCGAATGTAAAAAGCAGACCCCGAATTCGACTATAATGTCAAGGTGTGCCATTCTTTTTGACCAACAAATTCTTCTTATTATCGTTGAAAGGACTTTTTAACTCAAAATTTTGGACACTGGCATCGATTATTTTGGTCGTAACTAACTTGTTTCACTACCAGTGACGGATTTATGTATGGACTCAGTGGGCATAACAGAGCCCCCATCCCTTCCCTCGGGGCTTCGACCCATCCAAATGACTCCCTCTTTGCTACTGCATCCAATTTCAAGAGACTGACCCCGAACTTCTTTTTTTTTCGAGACAACATATATATATTTTTAAAAAAATGCGAAAAGATTGTCGGAAAAGGGGGCAGATTTCCAGAGCAAGCCAACCTCACCTCCACGTGGTGCCCCTGGATAAGCAGCTCAGGCTACTGAACTAACGAGGCTCTGGCGCGGTCCTCGACCTGTTAGGTCGAGGTTTAGGGCTAGCGACCCCTGTTGAACTCAGCTACGAAACCGTGACAACACGAAACAAGACTTATTCAAAAGCTACGCGCCCACCGGTAACTGGGACACCTGGCACTGCCGCACCAGGTGACCAAGCGAAGACGGCAAAACCATTCCAACCACCTCCAACCCGCATCAGCCCTGCGAAACACCCCCTACGTTTCGCCACCTGGAAAATCAGGACACTACTTCAACCTGAAGCGGAAGTTGTCCTATCCGAAGACCTCAGTGCCCAAAAGATCGGTTCTACGTGTTTCTCTACGATCTTTTTCTTAACGCCCCACGGAAGGACGCCCTACTGATCGGAGGTGACTTCAACAACAAAATCGGCCAGCTGGCTGATGGAGAAGAAAAGAACATCGGGCGCTTCTCAATTGGACAACGGAACTCAAATGGAGAAAGACTTGCTAACTTCTCCCTGCTGAACGACCTCGTAGTCAGCAGCACGACGTTCCGCAAAAAGAGACACACGCTCCACACTTGGACTTCAAACGACCACAAAACGAGGAAACAGATTGATCACATTGTCATCTCAAGACGATGGCGCTCTTCCATAACAAACATCGACAACATCCCGAAGTTCAAGTCCGACAGCGACCACAGACCAGTAGTCTCCACCATACAGCTGAAACTGAAGTCCTACACAAAACAGCTACGCGTCGTCAAGTATGACCTCGCCAACCTCCGCAAGGACAAAGTCTCCACCGCATATAAAATGAAACTCCATGAGCTGTATGACAAGGCGGAAGCTAAGGTGAAAGTGGACGCAATGTGGACGCAAATGAAGGACATCATACACTCAGCGGCAGCAAAAACCATATGATCCACGAAACGCAAGAAAAACCCGTGGTTCATGCTGAGACCCTCCAACTGATCGAAAAGAGAGCCCGTGCCCGCAAGGGTTCTACAAAAGCCTTCCTACAACGAGAAGTCGAGAAATTTGTCCGAAAGGACATAAAGGCGTTCTACGACGCACTGGCTGAACCGATGACCCTCGTGGATAACACCGGTGACACAAGAAAGGTGCACTCAATTGCTAAGCAACTTTCCAGTAAACTCAATGGGCTCAGCGAGAATATCAAAGACTCACAGGGGCAGCTCGTGACGGACGCAACGAGATGATAGAAACCTGGGCAACGACTGCTCAACAGACCCGCACCACCGGAAACTCACATGGAAATGAGCACGGCTAAACTTTTCTCTGGCTTAGATACGGCACCGCCCTCCACGCAAGAAATCCGCAATGCAATAGACAAACTGAAAGCAGACAAGGCCGGAGGAATTGACAATACCCCCCCAGAATTTTTCAAAGAAGGAGGACCCACACTGCTCTAGAAGCTCACCGAACTGATAAAGGTCATCTGGACTAAGCGGAGATCCCAGCAGATTAGAAAACAGCTGTGATCACGCCCATCTTCAAAAAAGGCGACCGAGCTAACTATTCTAACTACAAGGGAATTTCGCTACTCTTGAATCTTAAAACCTTTTTTGATTATTTTCCAAACCTCTTGGGAGACAAACAAATTACCCGAAGACTGGAAGTTGGCTAACATTTCTGCAATATTTAAAAAAGGTGAAAAATCGATGGCAGATAACTACAGACCAATCAGTTTAACATCAATATGTTGCAAGATATTCGAAAAGTTTGTTCGAAGGCATTTAATGGATCAATTCAATGAAAAAGGGCTAATAACAAATGCACAATACGGTTTTCGATCTGGAGGTTCACTGAACTTACAACTCCTGAAAGTAATTGATGACTTCACCAGGGCAATGGACAAACATGAAAATGTCGACGTGATATAATTGGACTTCAAAAAAGCCTTCGATTCGGTACCACACAAAAGACTAATCGGAGTTCTTAGACAGTATGGAGTAACTGGAAAAACCTTGAACTGGATAACAGACTTTCTTTCGGGACGACAACAGAGAGTGGTAATCAACGATTCAAGATCCTCATGGCAACCAGTAAAAAGTGGGATACCCCAGGGTTCAGTACTCGGCCCAGTACTGTTTTTGATATACATCAATACAATGCCGGACAAAATAGCGTCCAAAATATATCTGTTTGCTGACGATGCGAAATTATACCGTCAAATGGTAGACAAATTGGATGTAACACGCATACATGAAGATTTACAATCACTAGAGCCTTGGTCAGGCCAAAGTATTTTGTCCTTTAATATCGACAAATGTGTTCACATGACAATAGGTAGCAAGAAATTGGATATGGAGAGGATTTATAAAATCAATGGCGAAAACATTGAAGAAGTGCAACCCAAAAAAGACCTGGGTATCTGGCTTGACAACAAATTGACATTCGAAACACACATTACTAAAAAAGCCAATAAGGCAAACGGCATGATAGCAGTAATTAAGAAAAGCTTCACTAAAGTCACGAAACAAGTATTTTTAAACATCTACAAATGCTTGATACGGCCACACCTTGAATTTGCGAACTTAATCTGGCACCCAAGACTGATCAAGCATCAAAATATCCTAGAAAACGTACAAAGAAGAGCGACGCGTCTAGTTAGTGGTATGAAAAACCTATCGTATTACGAACGCCTTAAAGAACTGAATCTATCATCGCTGGAATACAGAAGGAAAAGAGAGACAATGATAGAAATGTATAAAATCTGCTATGGTTTGTATGATAGGAATGCCACTGCGGGACTATTCGAGCGGAATGATAGGGATTCTAGAGGTAACGCATGTAAAGTAGTAGTACGTAAAGCAAATCTAGAAATGCGAAAAAATTTCTTCACGATTAGAGCACCTCTCGACTGGAACAATCTGCCACAGGAAACAGTGCAAAGCAAGACCAGCGACGAATTCAAGTGGAAAAGAAATATGACAAACATTGGAAAGCGATTGGAATTGACATGTTCGAATTTGAACGGAGATAGGAAAAACACATTTGAGAATGACCACTTGAATGCATTCAAAATTCTCGAAGCAGTAGTTAAGAACAGACTCGAACCGGCTTACGAGTCTCAGGCCAGGATCAACCAAGCCAGCTTCACGAAGAAAAGAGGTCGCAGGGATCAAATCTTCGCCATCAGACAAATCGTAGAACGGCGAGAGGAATTCAAACGCTGCAACAACCTCATCTTTATTGATTTCAAAGCGGCCTTCGATAGCATAGATCGGAATTGAATTTGGCCAATATGCTCAAACTTTGGCCCCTGAGATACTAGTTGAACTCAGAGCCATGTATTCAGAGTTTTATAGCTAACTCCCTTTCCAAAAGTTTCAAAATACATAGTAGAGTCAGACAAGGCTCGATTATATCCCCTTTCCTTTTGAACCTCATTATAGACTGGATTATGAACGAAACGCTGAACGCTGAAAAATGAAAGACTCGGGATAGCGCTAGACGGCACGTCAGTCGCAGATCTCGATTTTGCAGACGATATCGGCCTCCTTGAGGATAACGGCCCATACGACCAAAGACTGCTAACAAAAATCACCGAGAAGGCAGCGCTCATTGGGCTCCAGATTAACGTCAGCAAGACAAATTTTGTACACAAGACCCATCACAGACGCTTCAAGTCGACGGCGAGGACATCGAATTAGTGGAGAACTTCGATTATCTAGGCAGCAAAATCCAACTTGATGGAAACATCTCCCCGGTGTTGGAAACATCTCCCTGACAGATTCAAAAACATGTAGAACGTCTGGAACGCCAAAAAGATCTCACAAACCACTAAAATAAACCTGTACATGGCCTGCGTACGGAGCGTTTTGCTCTACGGTTGCGAAAGCTGGCCAACCAAACAGTCGGATCTAAATTCCATCCAAGTATTCGAGAACAGATGCCTACGACATATCTTGCACAGAAGAACGACTACTACCCCCACGATTGAACTGTTGAACACAGCTAGGCTGACACCCCTGGCCAAAATTAAACAAGCTCGAAGGTTGAAGTGGCTGGGGCATGTGCTCCTTAAGGACCAAAGAGAAATCCCCAATGCAGCTTTAGAGTTCGAGCAAGCAACTGGCGAAGGCCACCCGGCGGTGTGAAGCAGACTTGGCAAAAGATCATCCAAGACTAACTCTCAAAGCACATCAAACCCCCCGCATGACACACAAGAAGTGGGAAAAGGAATGGTTCGAAATCAGCAAAGAAGCCGCGAGCGACAAAGGCCAATGGAGAGGCCTTGTTCGAGACATTATGGCGGGCAATGGGCAATGATGCCTGCAAAAGCCCCACTTGGACTTGGACCCCGAACTTGTTTTTTTTTCGAGCCAATATTTTTTAAAAAATGCTAAAAGATTGTCTAACTAAACCTATCGAAAACTCATAGTTTCATAAAACATAACAAAAATCGCCTATTTTTTCCAAACAGATTAAGCTTTTGGAAGTTTTGGGGTAGCTGAGAAAATCACTTTCCAATTTCTAAAACACTACAGAGTTTTGTAGAAAAAAAAATCGGCCAAATACGACAATATTAGGCTGTTTTGTAGGAGGTCTCAGCTTGTTGAAAATTAAGCTTCAGATCAGAAAAGTTTATTGGAAACATAGGCCGCAGCAAAAGCATAATCAAAAAATTTGCCTGTCCACAAAAAATTAAAATGTTAAGAAGCTAGAAAAAATCAATAGAACAGTAGGAAAACATCCAGTTGGAAAAAATTGGATTTAGATTTGGAAACTAAAAAGGTGCAGCACTTTACATTTGAGTACTCTGAAAATAGATCCGCGAAAATTGAAGTAAACACCAAAAGCGAAAACCTTTGAATTGAGATGCTCAGAGAAGTTCTTTATTTCAAACACAAAAAAATGAGCAGCTTCTAACACTGATGGTTCCATAAAAAAAAACAACAATGGACAAAAATTGGGAACAGAGTAAAAATTTGCAGAAAAATTCAATTAGTTTTCTCCTCTAGGAAATTACAAACTTGCTTGCCATCGCTGAAGTCAGCATTCTTTAATGACCTCCTCAAGTCAAAAGTGGTCTGTAAACCCTTTTTCAAAGTTTCGAACTCTGCTTCTATTGGGCAAACTGTCCGGCAAACTGGACGGCTGAAACTGAGGATAAAGCAAAAACGCCAAGTTTTTTCTGAAAAAACTTGGAGTTGAGGTAAAGAACGCGCAAAATTTTGTTGCGAAACTAATGATGGGTCGAACAACCAAAATTACAACTTTCTATATTCAGCGGCAATATATATTAGAAAAAGGAAACCAACCATGAACGCGCGCGACGCGATGAGTTTAACAACGGTGAGTTGGCATTGAAAACTTGGTTTCAAAATTTTCTGATTTTTCTTCCTATGGTTGATTTCCAAATCAGCAATATGACTCCGACACTTACAGACAAGTTAGACATTGCATACAATTAATTAAGAAACTAAATAAATTTGAAAATTTCAAATAGAAAGATCAACCGAATGGCGTTTTAGCATCATAGTTTCAAGCCAGTTTATAATATAAGCTATTCTGATGAACCGATTGTCAAAATGATTCAGAGTAGTTTATAATTATTATCCTGAGAACTGACAAAACTGACAAAATGAAAAACCATTCGAGGGAGAATGTGAAGAGGGAGGGGGTAAGGAATCTCGCCATTAGGCAAAAATCTGAACAAATTATTACGAAAAAAAACCGTAGTTTCAAATGTGAAAAGTTTTGAATCGCATATAAAACAATTAAAGTCAGCACTTAAGGAAGCAATTGATCGACATTTAGCACATAATAACTGAAGGAAGCCTTCAAAGAAACAATTTAAACAACGGTTTGAAAGTTAGATGAGCAAGAAAAACAAACGGCAATGGCAAAAAAAACTACAATTGAAACGGCCGTAAGTACTTATTCCTGATCAC